TTGAATCGAAGCAAGGTCCTCGGAAAAAAAAAGCCGAAGAAACAGCGGTCTAATGTCGGGGCCTTAATACATTAGAATAGGGCTTTAGGCTCCCTTATAGCATAGTTAGGGGTTAGGGTTTAGGGTTTAGGGTTTAGGGTTGGGGTTATAATAAGGACCTCTAACATTTGTAATGATTCAGGCCTCTATGTTTGCCCAAAGTCTGGGCGCCCGGCTTCGGGATCAGCTCCCCCATCTTGAGCATCACGTCTTTCTTGGTGTGGATCTGTCCAGGGTTCAAAACCCTAAACCCCAAACCCTAAACCCCTAACCCCCCCAACCCTAAAACCCGAAACCCCCACACCCTAAACCCCCAAGCCCTAAACCCCGGAACCAAAAACCTTAGACCCGGAAACCCCCAAACCCGAAAGCCCCAAACCCGAAACCCCGAAACCCTCAAGCCTAAACGCTAAACCCCAAACCCAAAACCCCCTAAACCCCAAACCCAAAACCCCTAAACCCCGAACCCCAAACCCCTAAACCCCGAACCCCCTAACCCTAAACCCCGAAACCCCTAACACTAAACCCCGAAACCTCTAAACCCCTAAACCCCGAAACCCCTAAACCTAACCCCGAAGCCCCTCACCCTAAACCCCTAAACCCCACAAGCGACACGACGGCAGGTGTCTGCTTTGTCCTGCGGGGTTGAAGGTTAAGGGTCGAAGAAGCCTCGGGCTCTAAGATGCCTTTATGGGGATTCAAGCTTAGGGTTTAGGGATTCGGGGTTTAGGGTTTAGGGTTTAGGGGTATAGGGCATAAGGTAGGATGCCCTCTGGGGATTTAGGGTTCAACCTCTCGCGTTTAGGGTTTAAGGTATAGCTAGCTGCCACTTAACTCCTGGCCTTGTTGCAAGGCCTGGGGTTGCAGGGGGGCTTCGGATGCTTTGGCGTTTCGGTGTAGGACTTGGGGTTTAGATTCAGATTTTCGGCGCTTACCATGGGCCCCCTTTCGGTGGAACAGGAGGTGCTTTCAACTTAGACCCTGCGACTTCAACCACAAACCCAGTTTAGCGTTTAGCGTTTGGGCTTAGGGCTTCCCAAGATGCGCAACCTAAACCCAAAACTCCAAAACCTAAACCCCCGCCTCTTGATGGGTAAAGGCACCCTCGGGTGTCTTCAGCCTTTCTGTCCCAAAGCTCGGCTTGCGCTTGGTGTTTTTGATCCGATCTCCGGATTTATGGGGTGCCTTTTTGACTTCAACAAGGGTAGCAAAAAGGGCTATTGCTCTGTTTGGGGTTCAGGATTCAGGAAGGCCGTAAGGGTTGAAAGCTCATGGTGTACGGTTTAGGGTTTAGGGTTTAGGGTTTAGGGTTTAGGGTTTAGGGTTTAGGGTTTAGGGTTTAGGTGCCTGATGGAAGATCCCGAGTTGAGGGTTTGGGATCTAGGGTCTGAGGGGGTCCGCAAATCGGAAGTTGCTACAGTCATGGATGCCAAGGCTTTTCCGAAACGCCTACACCGTTTGGGGTTCAAGGTAACAGCATCCGATTCGGAATCCTCAACGCTACACTGCACGCTCCGACGATCATGACGATCCGAAGCCCAAACCCACTAAACCTCAAAGCCCACCCAGGATTAAGATTTAAGGTTTATGGCTTGGGCTTAGGGCTCAAAAGTTTAAGCCTTGAACGCTAAGCCTCTGAAGGCCTAAACAGACCAGCCCTGTCCGCGCCAATTAAAGGTTCCAACATCCGTGAATCAAGCGATGTTCCTTAAGTCAGAATACACAATTCTTCATAAGAGATATTGGGTGTTGAAGAATGTTTCAACGCCTTGGACTCTGGACTCTGTGCCCAAACCTCAAATCATGTGAGGTCCGAGCAAGATGCGCACCCGCCCTCGAATCAGCCAGTCTTTCGGATAGGCCTCACGAGGATTTACTTTACAAGACCATGCATGCCATGGGGTTTGGGTTCCAGTTTTCAAAGGATGTGACTCCGTGGCAACAACCACGACCGCAGCAACGCCGTTGCTGCTGCTGCTGTTCCTGCTGCTGCTACGGCTACGGCAACTGCTATTGCTGCAACTAGTGCCACTGCCACTGCCACTCTGCTACTGCTACTGCTACGACGACGACACCGGCTGCTGCTGCTTCTGCTGCTGCAGCTGTTGCTGCGATAGCTGCGACGTCGACGACTAATTATTAGCATTGTTCCTGCTGCCATCGATGATACCAATGCAGCTTTCGGTACGTACTCTATCATGGATACGGCTTGTCATGACTGTTCCCCCAGCCCCGCAAAACCGACGTGCCTTATGAGGCTCGCAGATGTGCGGAATCTTCAGGTGCCTCATGGATGCGCAGCCCTACCCAAGGATGGGCTTGGGGTAATTTAGGTTCCAGGCTTGCTGTCATTGCACAAGGCCTCCGCCTTGAACCGTAAGCTAAACCACGCACCCGCACCCACAAACCCAAAACCATAAACCCTACACCTACGCGCTACTCTGAACTAATCGAACCCAAAAGCTCGAAACCTTCAGCCCCAAAGCCTCCGTCTCCACACATGTTCTTGAATTTTGAATTTGGAAAAAGCCCCGAACCACACAGCACCTTATGAAACCGCAATAACCCCTTCTAAACCACCCTAGAACTGGATAAGAATCGGATAAAAAAATCATAGAACCCCAAACTCCACGAGTTGGAACATTTTCGGACCCAGGGCTTCGTTTGAACACGTTGCCCACACCCACCTGTGGGCCAGTGCTCCCGGAACAAGTGTTGCGTGATGCTGTCTGGCGTGCCTTGTGTTGCTTTTTTCGACACGGGATTGCCACTGCTTGTGCAAAGATTCAATCGTCTGGGTACCCGGGGCAGGTGCACACAATGCCTTGTGCCGCGTCGTCAGACGCTCGAGTGGTTTGAAAGACTCCTTCCAATGCCACCCACTGACCCAGCACGTAGTGGCGGAATGCGTAAGCATCATTCTTCATATCGCCAAAACCAGTTGTGGTACTGGTAGCCTCACCCTTGACCGAAAGCCAGCGGCATGCAATAGTTGTGATGAAGAATCGCATTGGAAGGCATGCCGGTAATCCAGCAGGGCCTGTTCCGCCGCAGCAGCCCCGCACACTCATTGCGCGACCATTGTTGCCACACACCGCGCCAACTGTCGGAAGTCACTTCAGGACCCGGTGGCCCACAGGCATCTGCATTCTCTGGGCAGATGTTGTCGGCACTCGTGTTCATGGGTGGACATGTATTGAAAAGAGGCGAGTGCGGGGAGGGCAGTGCCCAGGCTGCGTGCAAGAAGCGCGCCGAGGACGGGTTCAGGCAGTCCTGAAGTTGCCATTCCACGTGCTTGACATCGAAGCTTGCGCGCTCGTCTGTCTACTGCAGTAGCAGATGCCGGGCTTCGACACGAAACAATTTCTCTACGACATTCACCATGGTGGACCACACATGCTCCGTGTTGTCCTGAATCCAACCGAGAAGACGCGCTGCAGCATCCATGGAAGTCGTCTGCGAGATCAGATCAGGAAGGAAAAAGGCGATGTAGGCACGGTGTTCCCAGGGCACCACATTGTAAGGGCATACTGGAATGTCAAACAAGCCCAACGCACGAATGGCAGCGCCACGCTTGTCCGAGTCCTCAACTGATCGATTGTGCTTGCTTTTGTGTTTCCTGGCTTCCCGAAGAGGGGTCGACGAGCCGTCAACGGCACACCGAGGCGTCCACAGATCCAGCGCACTTCGTCTGGCAGGCGAGGAAGCCTAGAAAGTCAACAGGACAATCTGCGCCTGAGTCCTTGGACGTGGGATGCAGGCGTGCGGGTAAGCGAAAACAAACAGCTTGTACTTGCACGTGGTCAGAAACCTCCGTCCACAAGTGCTGAAGCAGGGCCGTTCCCAAGACGTCCAGGACCCAGGAAGGAAGCGATCAAAGCCTCCTGGTTGCAATTTCTCCGACATACGCGACACAGCCAGTCTGTGGAGTGGCAGTCGACGATCCGATTGGCGAAGACATCGAATTTCCACGGAAAATCAACACCTTTGGGCAATCTATAAGTTGCAGCGTTCAAAGCCAGGGCAGGAGCACATGATAGAGCTCCTTCCCACGAATCGCCTGCAGGAAGTGTAATGGTTAGCAAGAGCCTTTTGCTTGCATCCACCAACAGCCGGACGCCTTTGTTCTCGGCGGCCGAAATATGAGCAAGCACCCCTTGCAAGTCCACAGCATGCAGACACGATCCTCGGTCATAACGAAGTTTGGTAGAATGACTAAACTAAATCGGAAGAAACTGAATCGGAAGGCTGGGGCAGAAAAGTCGAGGCCTCGTCAGAGTTGCTCTGCGACGAAGCCTGTACAGATACGCGGATTGCTTAGCTGGCGACCTGCGCAACACCAGGCCATCTTTCCTCTCTCGAATGCCACCCTCAAGCTCTTCACCGTCAGCTGCAAAATGTTGCCGCATGGGTGGCCGATGACATACTGCTCGGTCACTGTCCAAACTGTATCGGCGACAGCTTTTGTTCGCAGAATAATTAGCCAGACCCTTCAGCGGGTGTGACAGCGCGGAGAGTGAGGTGTCTGGGTTTTGCCTCGCGCCTCCTAGTTCTCTTTGAAGAATCCGCGCGGCACAGCAGTTCACAAAAGCCTGTGCTTCAGAGTCGGCTCCGGACATGTGCTTGGAGTAGTGGCCATCTGGAGGTAGAAACTCAGAACCTGAGCCTTTAAATATGTAAACCAAATCAGCGACAAAACAACACTAAACCCGTAGCCATAATTCGTAAACCGTAACCTCGCAAACCCTGAAACCGCAAAGCTGGTGTCCTCAAAACCCTACAAAACCCACATGAAACCCCAGAAACAAATATATGAAAAAAAACCAAAAAAAAAAACCTACAAATTTCATAGAACCTCAGAAAAAGCTTGTGAAACCCATATAAAACCTCCGAGCACATAAAGCCTGCAAAATCTGATGAAAGCCCAAAAACAGAAATCGCTGCCCCCATGAGGCTGCCGCTCACAAACCTCAGCCATCTCGAAGGCTCTGGGATGTTCGCATGCCTGTCGGCTTTAGGGCACAGGCTTTGGGGTTTGGCGTTAAGGTTTCGGGTTTAGGGCTGTAGCGTCTGGGGTACAGTGAGTGCGTAGGGCCCCAAAACCCCAGTTGAAGCCGAGACCCAAACCCTAAACCCTAAACCCTAAACCCTAAACCCTAAACCCTAAACCCTAAACCCTAAACCCCTAAACTCTAAACCCTAAACCCTAAACACAAAACTCGCGCAAACCCCGAAATCCCAAGCGGCCTCAACATTAAAGCAGGCACGGTTTAGGGTTTAGGGTTTAGGGTTTAGGGTTTAGGGTTTAGGGTTTAGGGTTTAGGGTTTAGGGTTTAGGGTTTAGGGTTTAGGGTTTAGGGTTTAGGGTTTAGGGTTTAGCAGGCAGAACTCTTTACACAACCCTGGACCCTAAAGCGTCTAGTACTTAAGACTTTATATTGGTAATCATTCAGGCTTCCTCAGCCCTGAGTCGGAAGCACTACTAGAGGGTTCAGGGTTTAGGGCGAAAGGTTTAGGGTTTAAGGTTTCGGGTTTAGGGTTTAAGGTTTAGGGTTTAGGGTTTAGGGTTAATTACCTATACTATTTTGGGGTTCCTTGTTATAAGACTATAGCAGAATGGGCCCCAAAACCCTATGCTAATGGCCCATCACCAGTAAACCCTAAACCCTAAACCCTAAACCCCTAAACCCTAAACCCCTAAACCCCTAAACCCCTCAGCCCTAAACCCCTAAACCCCTAAACCTAAACGAAAAACAAAAAACAAACAATGGCGCAGCCACAAACCCCCACTTCACCACATCCTGCACCCCGAGGCACCAAACCTCAAACCTTTCAAAGCCCGCTAGGCTCCTCAACCCTGCGGGGTTTAGGATTTAGGGTTTAGGATTTAAGTTTTAGGACTTAGGGTGTAGGGTGTAGGGTTTAGGATTTAGGATCTAAGGTTTAGGATTTAAGGGTTAGGATTTAGGATTCAAGGTTTAGGATTTAGGGTTTAGGATTTAGTGTTTTTTGGATTAAGGGTTTAGGGTTCAGGGATCCTAAGCCCCAAAGCCCTGAGTCAACCTCCACCTTTCCCAGAACTTCCAAACTCCTAAGCTCAGGATTAGGGTTTAGGGCTTAGGGCTTAGGGTTTAGGGTTTAGACCTTAGGGCTTAGGGCTTTGGGTTTAGGGTATAGGGCTGACGATCCCTGTAGCCGCGCAGTGCCTTGTCGAGGCCTATTCGCCGGCCCTCCTGGACCGTCTTTTTCGAGTTGATGTAGTTGGGATAGATGATCTGCCACCTTGAGTTTGGAGCCCTAAACCCTAAACCCCTAAACCCTAAACCCTAAACCCTAAACCCTGAACCCTAAACCCTAAACCCCTAAACCCTAAACCCTAAACCCTAAACCCTAAACCCTCACTGTGTTAGGATTCATTCATAGGGGGTCTTCAGTTTTAGGGTTTAGGGCGCAGGGTTCAGGCTGCCAACCGTTGTAGCGTCCTTAGAAACCAGACTCAGAAAGCCGAGAAAGCAGCTGTCTGATATAGGGTTTAGGGTTTAGGGTTTAGGGTTTAGGGTTTAGGGTTTAGGGTTCAGGGTTCAGGGTTTAGGGTTTAGGGTTTAGGGTTTAGGGCTTAGGGTTTAGGGTAGGTGCCTGAAAGAAATTTGGGGGTTTCCAAAAAGAGGGGACCCTAATATGGTACCCTACATATTAGGACCCTTATTATAAGGACCCCAAAATACGGTACCCACTATTTTCGGACACTTCCATTTAGGTGCCTTAATAATTTTTAGGATTTGGGAGAGATCATCTGCCACCTGAGAGCTTCAGAACATGAGGGACCCTCACACAGAAACCTCCCGTCAGGGATCCTTATAAAGATCCCAGCAAGATACCTAGGACCTCCACCTTGGGCGCAGGGTTTAGGGGTTGATTGGAGTTTAGAGCTTGGGGGTTTCGGGTTTACTGTGAGGGTGTAGGGCCAGCGGACCTGCCGGCTGGAGCGCATGGTTTGACGGGCGTCTTACAGGGCTCGATATGGTGATACTCGCTTGCAGTCCCACAGAACTCTTCTCTAATCTAGCCCAAGGCCCTGATCCAATCACTAAGGCCTCTACTTAATATGGGAGTTTCAGAAAATTAGGGTACCTTATTTTGGGGTCCTTATAATAGGGATCCTATTGTTTAGGGTACTATATTAGGGTTCCCTATTTTCGGAAACCCCCATATGTGACTCATGACCTGAAGTATCGAGAAGGATGCTTCGTTCGGGTATCGAGCCCTCAGTTACTTGGAAGAGCCTGGGAATCGAGACGGGTCGTACCTATCTACCTACCTACCTACCTACCTACCTACCTACCTACCTACCTACCTATCCACCGGTCACCGAACCTAGACATTTATCTCCTTCTCTCTCTCTTTCTCTCTCTCTCTCTCTCTCTCTCTCTCTCTCTCTTCTTCTTCTTCTCCGGGGCCTAGGGAGCTGTCCAGGCTCCCCGCACCGCAAGGTGCACCCCCCTCTTGGGGGCTTTGCAGGGGCACAGTAAGTCGGTAAAAGATATGGTTGCCCGGTCTGTAGCACTCAAGAACAAAGTCGTAACAAGTCAAACCAACAAGACTACCAAAACGAACTTATTCCCCCGGGCCTCCGCATCTTTGAAGGGCAAGTGACGTCACTACTGTGAAAGTCTCTCTCTCTCTCTCTCTCGCTCTTTCTCTCTCTCTCGCTCTCTCTGTCTCTCTCTCCCTCTCTCTCTCTCTCTCTCTCTGTCTCTATCTATCTCTCTGTCTCTCAGTCCCTCTATCTATCGATCTCTCCATCTATCTATCTAGCTATCTATCTATATCTACCGAACTATCTATCTATTTGTCTATCTCATTTACATGATCATTACCCAACTATGCATGACATGAACTATACAGGGAAATTGTTACACGCTAGTTAGACCCGCTGCTCATGGATAGTTACACCGGAGTTTCCGAAAATAGGGGGGTACCTCATTTGGGGGTCCTTATAATATGGATCCTACTATTTAGGGTACTCTAATCGGGTCCCCTATTTTCGGAAACCCCTACACTTCCCTTACGTGGAGCTCTTAAACCCTGAATCCAACCCTCACCTCCAATTCTACACCCCTTTTCCTGAAAATAAGCTTCTCACCCTCCTGGCCCCCTATCTAAACCCTCTAGAGAGCTCATAAAACCCATTCAGAAAGAACCTTCTAAACCTCCCTAAACCCTAAACCCTCTAAAAGTTCGGTGAAGCAGCTTCGACACATCCAGCCCCTCCGGCACGCCAGGGGCGCGCGCCATGGCGCCGGCCACTTCGCAGGCTGGGAGCCCAAAAGGAGCAAAAGAGGCGGCAGAGAACAGCTGGGGTTTAGGGTTTGGGGTTTAGGGTTTAGGGTATAGGGTTTAGGGGAGAACAGCTGGGGTTTTGTGTCTTATGGGGATCTGAAAAAGCTTTGTTTTATAGGTGTTTATAGTATTGCTTATGAAGTTGTGTATGGCTTTATGGGTCTTTTGGGGCTAGTAGGGCTTTTTGGTGTGTGTCGAAAGGGGCTTTCGAGTTAAACGAACAGACATTCGACTTTAGGGTTTAGGGTCTAGGGTTAGGCCTTGGGCTCTTCGGGCTTAGGGATTGACAGGGATTGGGGCTTTGCACGGGGGTTCCGGCCTTAACTCAAACCCTGAGCTCTAAATCCGAACCCCCAAAGGCACTCCTTGGTTCAGGGCCATAAGGGTCCTAGTCAACACAGGGCCTCGATCAAAGACCGGAGGCCTCTGGTGTAGTGCCTCTGTTCGTAAACCACGGCAGGTTGTAGACATTGAAATGACAGGTGGAGGTTGTAGCTTCGAGTGAAAGATAGGGCTGCTCTCCGATTCCTACGTCTCGAAGTCGAGTCTAGTGCACTCTTCCCCGACTCTTGAAACCTCATCTTTGATCAAGATAACACGACTTCGGCCCCTCTGCCTCGGACTCACAAACCTGGTAGAGGGGCGCGTATGGAACAGGGTTTCGGGGCACTGTACAGTACAACTACCTACGGACTGCCTTGGACGCTAAACCCAAATGCCATAATGCAGGGGCCTTAATAATGAGAATAGGGTTTGGGGGGCCATTATACGATAATTACAAGAAGGAACCCCCAAGATAGCACTGGTAGTTATTTAGGCCCCTACATTGATACCCTTAAGCCTAAATTCTACACGCGAAACCGCAAGCCCAATCGAGCACCCAGTCCCTGCAACTTGCACGCCGCCTTTCTCTCCGGCGTCCTGCTCTCCAGAATTTCAAAGCCGAAGACCAACACATAACAACGCGATCCTGCAGATTTAAACCTTAAAGCACCATGTCCCAAAAAGAAGCTACAACCCTGGAGCCGAATGCCCTCCCCCTCAATCCTAGATCCATGCCCTAAATCCTAAACCTCACCAAACCCTAAACCCAAAACCCAAAACCCTAAACCCAAAACCCTAAACCCTAAACCCTAAACCGAAGCCTAGATCCCGAGCCCCTTCCTTTGCCCCTCTTTTGGAGGGCCTTTGCCTCTATGTGGATCCCCTGGCATCCCATCCTCTTCTCGTGTTTCAGGGCTCCAGAGATAGCTGTTAGGGTTTAGGGTTTAGGGTTTAGGGTTTAGGGTTTAGGGTTCCCGAACAAGAGTCCTGATATAAGGGATCCTTAATCCTAGCTTGCGACGAGGTGGTGGGCTTGGCGGTCCAGCGGTATGGGGTTCCGACTGTCGCGCTAAACTCCTACAGGTTTAGGGTTTAGAGTTTAGGGTTTAGGGTTTAGCGTTTTAGGGTTTAGGGTTTAGGGTTTAGCGGCGTGGGTTGCCGGAGGTTTGGGAGCGAAAATGCCAGGGGTGCGGGTTGGATGGGAGGCTGCCATCTGGGTCTTCGTCCTGGAGGAGCGTCTCAACCCGGAAATATGATCTCCTGCACACTACACCCTAAATAAAGGTGCCATGATAGATAATCTAGCAGAAATAGGTTTTTTTTGCAAACCCTAAACCCAATGCGGGCAGCCTTCAAGCAAGTTTGCTACGAGCCGACCTTGGCAAGATCGGGGAATACTCCAATGCGCCGAGGGCATCGGAAGCATCTACATTCGTTGACACAGGCGCCCTGTCTCGAATTGGCCCGTTGCTAAGGGTTTGGGTTCTAGGCTTTAGGCTTTCAGTGTCAAGGGTTCAGGGTTCGGGGCGCATGCTACCGTAAGTCCTGAACCCTAAACCCTAAACCCATAATTCATACTTTGAAACCCTACACCCAGACCCTGCGATCAAAGAACCGGGCAGTCTGACCGCATGGTGTAGGCCGACGTTTTAGGACGCCTGTGGTGTGAAAAAGGTCCCTTAGGGACAGCAGATCAGCAACACGTCCTAAACCCTAAACCCTTAAGACCTGAGCCGTAAAACCTCAAACCTTAACCCGAAGGCTAGTTTGGGCTTTTGGGTTTCGTTTGGGATTTGGGGTCTGGGGTTTGCGGTTTCGTTTGGCTTTAAGGGTAGCTCAGGGGCTTTCAAGCCTGATAGCCTGGGAGTCTAAAGCGGGTTGCCCGCAAGCCTTCGCATAGTCTCCTGGTCGGTCCCTACCTGGGCTGGCTTCCGCAAAGGGTTTAGGGTTTAGGGTTTAGGGTTTAGGGTTTAGGGTTTAGGGTTTAGAAAAACCGAAAGAGGGTTTCTCTCCTGTTGCATATGGGTAGTTGTCTAAACTAGGGCCCCGTTTTTAGGTCCCCAATATAAGCCAATATAGTACGACACCCTTATAAAAAGTACCCTAAAAGGGGCCCTAATCTTGAAAACTTCCCATTTGCGCCGAGTCTTTCAGCAGCTCGAAGCCTTCCAAAAAAGAGGGTTTGCAAAGAGGGCTTTTGCAAAAAAAACCCTCTTTGCCTCCAGAAGGCTGGCAAAACTCAAAAGTAAGAAAACGGTTTAGGGTTTAGGGTTTAGGGTTTAGGGGCTTAGGGGTTTAGGGTTTAGGCTTTAGGGTTTAGGAAAACCCAACAACCCTCGAGTCCCAAAAGCCTCAGCCCTAACCCCACACCCTGGGACTTCCCCTTAAACCCTACACGCTAAGCCCTAAAGTAAAAACCCTAGGCCCATCACTGAACGCAAGCATTTAGGGCTTAGAGTTTGGGGTTGAGGGTTTAGTAATAGGGGCAAGCCAACCCCAACCTTACCATCCCAGACTCTGCAGACACCTAAGGGTTTAGGGTTGAGGGTTTAGGGTTTAGGGTTTAGGGTTGAGTCTAGGGCCTACCTGGACCCTGAACAACCTACCTTTTTAGGGTCCCGTATTCTGTTTTCCTCAAAAAAGTCCTTACAAAGGTAGGTCTTGTCGGCTACAGGTAGACCTCAAACTGCCGCCCTGAAAAAGAACCAAAACCTACAGTACCCTTAGAGGAACCTTTGAGTAAGCCTTACATATCTTATTAAACCTCTATAAACCCTATAAACTCCCCTAGACAACTCTGTAAATCTGCAAAGCACCCCCCGAAAAAATGCTTGAACAAACCCCTTGCGAAAACAAAATCCGAAACCCTAAACCCTAAATCCTAAACCCTAAACCCGAAACCCTAAACCCTAAATCCTAAATCCTAAACCCTAAACCCTAAATCCTAAACCCGAAACCCTAAATCTCAAAAATCCGCCAAGCCACCAGGCCAAGAGGCAGCGTTCGGTGAAGGTCTCCAGTCGACCGCGTCCCATGCGGGGCCCCGCCCAGGTCCTTCCGGTGGTTTGAAGGGTTCCAACATGAGGGCTCCTAGGCTCCTGTTAGCATTCTTTCAAGGATCCCTTCAGGGTACTACAAGGGTTCTATAAGGGGTTTAGGGTTTAGGGTTTAGGGCTTAGGGCTTTTAGGGTTTAGGGTTTAGGGTTTAGGGGGCATTTCAAGAAGGGTTCTTCGTCCTTCAAGCACACAGAATATCGCTTGTGGTATCGGAGATCGAGGGGGTCAGGAGATGAAGCACACGGTTCGAGTTCGCGGTGATTTCGCGTTTGGGGTCACAGGCCGTCCAAAAGCTGAGAACTTGCACCCCCTATCCCCCGATGGGGTTTAGGGTTTTTGCATTTAGGGTCCAATACCCTCGATCCTCGCGCAGGCGAGGCATCCAATTCGATGAATTAACATGACGCTGATAAACCTTTCGTATACTTGAGGATATAGTGGAGAAGTCTTCGTCCCGATAGAAGCGCAGGGTTAAGAGGGTCGGAGTTCAAGATGAGGGTTTAGGGTTTAGGGTTTAGGGTTGCTAGGATCGATCGAGGACTATCACGAGGGGGGCCAAAGCAAGGACCCGAAAAAGGATCCTTCTGCAACGAGATCTTCCATCCAGCTCGCGACTTTCTAAGGTCCCCCGATGGAAAACCCTAAGCCCAAACCCTGCGCCCTAAACCCTAATCCCTAAACCCGAAACCCTAAGCCGTCTGTCCCTTCTTCGTCCTTCAAAAAGCTCTTGATGAGCTTATGGCCATGGCGCTTCCTGGCTTTCGCTTCGAAGCCCCTTATCCCATGATCGAAAACCCAAACATCAAGTTCAGTTTGGGGTTTAGGGTTTGGGATTCCCTAAAATCCCTAAGCCCTAAGCCGCTACAGAGCCCCAGACCCTAAAGTCCACTAAGCCCGAAACCCTGACGCCCAATGTAAGCCTTTGTCGCATGTTACTTTGGGGCTTTTCGCTAAAGGCTCTGTAAGTCTTCTCTGGTTTTGTGGGGTTTTGCGAGTTTAAGGATTTTGTAAGCCTTCTTAGGATTGAGGGTTTTGCAAATGGGGAAAAGACCGTAAAGAGCTAGCAGCACTTGCGCAGAGCTTAAGCCTTGAGGCCCAGCGATTCGGGTGCTGGGATTCGTGGAAGAAGCTAGGCCCTAAACCCTAAACCCTAAACCCTAAACCGCTAGGCTGCTTGGGCATTCCAGCCTGGACATGGGTAGTTCAGGGTCCCTTTTCGGGTCCTTTTTATAAGGATGCCGTACTGTCGTGGGGACCGAAGACCACATCCTAATGTGAAGAACTACCCGCATCGAAACTCCCCATCTACGATTGCAAGATGTGCCGAGAATCTACCACAAAGGGTTTAGGGTCTAGGGTTTAGGGTTTAGGGTTTAGGGTTTAGGGTTTAGGGATTAGGACCCGTCCCAAAGCCCCAGGCCTCATGAAGCCTTCCCACCCCAATACAATCCTTAAACCATTGTAGAACGTTCAGGAACCCCTGTAGGGCCCTTTCAAAAATCCCGCGATGCAATGGAACATTTGCTGAGGTACCTTCTTCAAGGAGCTCCGTTGTGCATAAACGGACTCGGGTATAAGGCCTTTGTTGGTATTTTCTTTGAGACAACCCTGAGAGACACACCCTACCATTGTTAGGCAGGATACCGCCACTTGACAGAGTCGATGTGCGGCTTGGCGGAGAAGTTCACGAACTCGTTTCCGTAGCTGGAGTACCTGCGTGTCCTAACTGATAAGCCCAGAGCCCCGAAAGGCGCGTCCAACAAAAACATCACACACACACACACACACGCACACTCGAACTTTAAACCATCCTAAACACATGCAAAACCCTCAACCCACCAGCGTTCAGAGAAGATCTGGACACGCCTCGCCTCGCCTCGCCTTTAGTTCCAGGAAACCGGAAACACTCTAAACCCTAAACCGCAAAACCCTCAACCCTAATCCCTGAGCCTAGACCCTGAAACCTCACCCCATCAATCCTAGTTAGACCACTAAGACCCAGACAACCAGAAGCCTAAGCCCTAAACCCTAAACCAGTGTGTGGTTCAAGAGCACAATGACCCCGAGAGTTCGATACTTGAGGAACATCCCTGAAGTCGAGAAATATCGAAACCTTTACCAATTAAGGTATGTCAGGGTTTAGGGTTTAGGGTTAAGAGTTTAAGGTATAGGGTTTAGGGTTTAGGGTATATTCCTGAAGCATGAGGATAGGGATCTCTATACTTTGGATACTGCCCCCACTCATGAACAGTTGGACGGTACTTGTATAAGACATCTGAGGCCCTTAAGGCTACTCTTACCTGTCTGGTGCTTAGTAGGGAATGGGGGAATGGGTTATAGGGACTACTATAAGGAACCTTAAGGGACTATCATAGGGATCCATTCCCCCATTCCCTACTAAGCACCAGACAGTTACTCAAGGGGCATTGAGCTCTCCGGCTCACTCAAACCGAAGGAGTCCCCTCGGCAACAAGCCCGCAAAGGTCGGCTTCTAGAATTCTCGAACCGCAGGGAACCCACAAATAATCGAACCACTACTGAACCTCTATCGAACCCTTACAGAATCCCTTCACTATGCTTGTGCAGCTGACAATGGTATCAATAGTTTGCGAGAACCTTGGAGCACTGAAAACCCAGGCGGTTCTCGACCAAGGCTTAACGCTCATACCCCTCCCATACCATGAAACTTAAACCGTGACGCCCCAGATTCCCTCAAAAAGAAAAAGAATCCAAACACACAACCCGTGCAGAACGCACAAATAACCCCTATACAACCCTCATGGAACCCTTGCAGAAGCCTTTCTCCCTTCTACTCTCAAGCCCTAATCCCACCAGACAAAGAGGAAAGGAAAGGAAAACATAAAGCCTAAACCCCAAAACCGTAGAGAAAAAATAACCAACAACTGCTTCCGGCGCGCCAGAAGTCCCGCCGGGTCTTGCCATCGATGTCGAGTTCATGGATCGGCAGGAACTTGTCGCCAGTGGCCTGCATGGGCGCACTCGAAGCCTCAAAATAAAAAAATGATGATGAGAAAACGCCACAATAATCATGATAAGAACATCAACTTTACTCCATCAAGAAACTCATATTACCAAAAACTGATAACTCCCTTGTAAGATGCTTATCAACCCCCACAAAACTTTATACCCTAAACCCGAAACCAAACGCAAAACCCTGGACCCGAATCCCGAAGCCCGACATTCCGAAGGGTTTAGGGTTTAGGGTTTAGGGTGCCCGAAACCCAAAACCCAAGACCCTAAACTCCACCTGGACCCTAAAGAACCTACCTTTTGGGGGGGTTCCTTATTCTGATTTCCTCATGGAAGTCCTTAAAAAAGTGGGTCTTTTCGGCTACCTAAACCCTAAACCCTAAACCCTAAAACCTTCTATTAAACCCTAAACCCAAGAAAAGCCTTGAAACCGGAATGCTCGCCACCGTGCATTTCCTGGCTCTGCGACCGCAGCACCAAGGAAGGCTCCCGGCGTTTCTCTACTGGCGGACCTCAGCATTCAGGGTGTAGGGTTTTCGGTTTGGGGGTGCAGGGTTTAGGGTTTAGGGTTTAGGGGTTTAGAGTTTTGGGTTCAGGGTTCAGGGTTGAGGGCTTCCGGGGTTTAGGGTTTGTTTTGTTTTTAAAGTGTAGTGGCACCTCTTTCGTCGAAGCAGCTTTTTGGGTTTAGGGTTTAGAGTGTAGGGCGTATGGATTTGGGGGTTTTTGGGGGCCTGGAGAGCTCTGGTTGGGGTTGCGGGTTTTAAACTCGACAGCAGCCACGAAGCCCTTGACGGTCCGAGCCCCTTGTTTAGGGTTTAGGGCTTTAGGGTTTTAGGGTTTAAGGTTTTAGGGTTTAGGGTTTAGGGATCTTTACAACCTTCCCTTCGTAAATACCTTGGGGCACAGCCGGAAAGCCCTTACGAAACCCTCATGCACTCCTAGACAAACCTTCATCCCAGCACCCCTTACCAAGAAAAGCAAGCCCAACATACTCAAAAAGACAGAGCTACAAAATTTTGATAGGTCATGATAGTTGTCATACTGACCAGAATGATAATACGACTGATGATGATAATCATAGTGAACAATTTCTACTAATAGCAATAAGCACTAACTTTAATAAACCCTAAACCCGAAACCCTAAACCCCTAAAAACC